AAAATAATCATTGGACCCACAATAATAGTAAAAGTGGGTTTTGAGCCTTCAAAAAAAAATATGTTTTTGTATTTTATAAATAAATCCAATGAGCCATTATTTTTATATCAATCTTTTAATAGGTTTGATAAACTTCTTATCAAGTCCAAATAAAACATGCAAAAATAATAAATTTTATTAATGCTAAAAATGCAAAATAATTTTTTTGTTTTGTTATTTTTTTCTTATGCTAATTTTATGCTAAATTATGCAAAGAGATTTTTTTAGCTTGGCCATAAGCAATTTTCGAGAAAAAAAATAAAAAAATAAGGCAACACATATATTTCACTAATTAAGGCAACTCATCTCCTCTTTTTCTTTCCCCTGCCGGTGGTGAGCTTCACTGTTTCTTGAAAAACCAGAAAATCACAAAAAAAATAGTTGATTTTATCTCTTCTATAGATCTAATTTTTTTTTTATATTGGATCTTTTTCTTCTCAATTTTATTGTTCTTCAATGGTTGGATGCTATTATCTCTGATGGTACATAGTCGTCCGCTAGTTCATGACAAGAAGGGGAAAGGTTATGGGTTGCAGTTTAAGAAGAAAGATGGGTCTTATTATTGATGATTAAGTCTTCGACAACTAGGTTAACGGCTAGTTCTCGTGGTGTTGCTGCTAGGATGTAGAGTTGATAGGGCTGACCGCCGTTGCTGGATAAGAGGGGAACGCTCAGTGGTTTAACTGGAGGCTGTTGATGGTCGCCATGAATGGAAGAGGATAGGAACTGAGTGAAGGGTTGGCCATCAATTGAGATGAGGATCTTGGTTAGAGAGAGATAAAGAGGGACAACTGATAAGAGAATTTTTAGCATGTATATTTTCCACTATTTGTGCTTGATTTTTAAATATTTTAGATATGTTGCACAAGATAATTAGAATTTTGGATCCATTTTTGAACTATTGACCTCGTGGGAAATTAATATGTTTTCAGATACTAGGTTACTAAGCAGATAGAATCCGGTAGTAAAACCGAACATTGATTAAATCAGACCCGAATTTCCTGCACTCCAAATACTGTCTCAGTTTATGGCCCTATCTCAAGTCTCAGAGGTCTAAAAATTGCAAGATTGGTGTCATTGGAAATAAGATTCAATTTTCTATAATTTCTTCAAAAATAGAGATCTTTGAATTCGCACGTTTCCTGCCTCAAATCTAGCCTGCAATGTTTGGGTAGGAAGGAATTCAAATCAGAAAAGGAAACTGTCTTCACTCTAGCAGAGGTAAAAAGGCCATAATATAAAAGAAAAAAAAGAAAGGTTTGTGATTAGTACTTAAAAGTGCATTTTTATCAAGGTTTTATATTATCATTTTGCACTCGAAGTATCAATAACTCCTTAACTAAAGCATGTTTTATAATAACGTATCTAATAATATAAGATACCTTTAATTTGTGGTAAATGTCTATTTTTAATGCAGGCCTATCACATAAATGAAAGGATTGATTGATGACTTGAAGAACTTAAATTGCAAGGATAAAGAGATGGCCAAACTTAGAAAAGAGATGTCGGTGCAATCCAAACCGGAACACTGTTCGGTAATTGGGTCATATCTAGAGCTATATATCTCAGATTTAGGTCCAATTTATATGGATGGAAAGGTAAGACATAGGCCTACAACTTTCATATGGAGCCCAAGATCTAAAAAGGCCATTATCAAGTCCAAATTGTAGCAACAACAAAGAAGCCCGAATCTGTCTTCCAGCCCGAGCACTGTTCAGTGTTTAGCCCATATATGCAATTCTAGAAGTCTAAATGAGCTGAATGTTTTACACAAGAAAGCTGAGACAATTGCCTACAACTTTCATGTTTGCAACTGGCTCCAGTTTTGACGTTATCAATGACGTTTTGGGCAGACAAGAGAAGATAAGGATTGTCACCAAGTCAAGAGTTAGTCACCCACTCATCAATTAGTCATCAAATCAATAGTTTCCAATTTTGGCCTATAAAAGGAGGCATTTGCCATGTATTTAGGCATCTTGGTCTCCAGATCAAGATCATGCTTTTGCTTTCTTTCTTTGTATTTTTTTGTAATGTTTATGCTTTTCTTTCATTAATATCAAGTTTATGCCTTTTATTTCCTCTCATTTACTTAGTTAACTTTTATCTTATTTATGTTCTCATTTTATTTATTTATTTATCTTTCTTTTATTATGTTTAGGTAAGTTTATTATGTCAAGGTGAAAAGGTACACTAATGGTGTAAGAATAAGTATAGTGTAAACTTAATATGGACTTTAATGTTTGATACTAACATGTTTTGTATTTGTTGTCTTGTTCATTCTTTAATACTTTGCTTGTTAAATGACTAATCTTGATTTATGTTGTATAACACTTGTACAACAAATGCTTGGCACTTTCATGGCCCATATTGTGTGGTATAACCGACACCTGAGCTATGAAAGGAACTTGATTTGTTGTTAACTTAAGTTATAATCATGAATGCTTGACGAGATTTACAAGTATTAACATGAATCAAGTAAGATGATAAATGTAATCATGTTAACAATCTATAATCTAATTGGAACCTCCTTTGTGTGTGGTTTCCAATTGAATAATAAGAGTTTATACTATACTTGTTCGACATACCATTAGTGGATCCTCTAACCTTGACATTTTATTATTATCATTGTTTAATCCTTGCGTTAATCTTCCATCTCAAAGTTCTCATCAACTTCTTCTTTTTCTTCTTCTTCTATTATTATTATTGTTGTTGTTGTTGTTGTTGTTGTTGTTGTTATTATTATTATTGTTACTATTATTATTGATTAGTACTTAAAAGTGCATTTTTATCATGGTTTTATATCATCATTTTGCACTTGAAATATCAATAACTCCTTAACTAAAATATGTTTTATAATAATGTATCTAATAATATAAGATACCTATAATTTGTGGTAAATGTCTATTTTTAATGCAGGCCTATCACATAAATGAAAGGATTGATTGATGACTTGAAGAACTTAAATTGCAAGGATAAAGAGATGACCAAACTTAGAAAAGAGATGTCGGTGCAATCCAAACCGGAACACTGTTCGGTAATTGGGTCATATCTAGAGCTATATATCTCAGATTTAGGTCCAATTTATATGGATGGAAAGGTAAGACATAGGCTTACAACTTTCATATGGAGCCCAAGATCTAAAAAGGCCACTATCAAGTCCAAATTGTAGCAACAACAAAGAAGCCCCAATCTGTCTTCCAGCCCGAGCACTGTTCGGTATTTTGGCCATATCTGGAGTTCTAGAAGTCCAAATGAGCTGAATGTTTTACATACGAAATCTAAGACAATTGCCTACAACTTTTATGTTTGCAACTGGCTCCAATTTTGACGTTATCAATGACGTTTTGGGCAGACAAGAGAAGATAAGGATTGTCACCAAGTCAAAAGTTGGCCACCCAGTTATCAATTAGTCATCAAATTAATAGTTCCCAATTTTGGCTTATAAAAGGAGGCATTTGCCATGTATTTAGGCATCTTGGTTTCCAGATCAAGATCATGCTCTTCCTTTCTCTCTTTGTATTTTTTAGTAATGTTTATGCTTTGCTTTCATTAATATTAAGTTTATGCCTTTGATTTCCTTTCCTTTACTTAGTTAACTTTTATGTTCTTATTTTGTTTATCTATTTTGCTTTCTTTCATTATGTCTAGCTAAGTTTGTTATGTCAAGGTGAAAAGGTTACACTAATGGTGTAAGAATAAGTATAATGTAAACTTAATATGGACTTTAATGTTTGATACTAACATGTTTTATATTTGTTATCTTGTTCACTCTTTAATACTTTGCTTGTTAAATGACTAATCTTGATTTATGTTGTATAACACTTGGTACAACAAATGCTTGACACTTTCATAGCCCATAATGTATGGTATAACCGACACCTGAGCTATGAAAGGAACTTGATTTGTTGTTAACATAAGTTATAATCATGAATGCTTGACTAGATTTACAAGTATTAGCATTAATTGAATAAGATGACTAATGTAATCATGTTAACAATATATAATCTGATTGGAACCTCCTTTGTGTGTGGTTTCCAATTCAATAATAAGAGTTTATACTATACTTGTTTGATATACCATTAGTGGAACCTCTAACCTTGACATTTGTTATTATCATTGTTTAATCCTTACATTAATATTCCATCTCCAAGTTCTCATCATCATCTTCTCTTCTTCTTCTCTTTCTTTATTATTATTATTATTATTATTATTATTATTATTATTATTACTACTACTATTATTATTATTATTATTATTATTATTATTATTATTATTATTATTATTATTACTGTTGTTGTTATTGTTGTTTTATAATTGTTGTTTATAATTTGTACAATTAACCTCCCTGTGGTTCGACCCCGGTCTTGCCGGGTTATTTATTACTTCGACACTCCTGCACTTGGGAGAAGACATCAACCTTTTAGTCGTGTCAGTTATTATTACTATTGTTGTTGTTAATAATTGTTGTTTATAATTTGTACAATTAACCTCTCTGTGGTTTGACCCCGGTCTTGTCGGGTTATTTATTACTTCGACACTCCTGCACTTGGGAGAAGACATCAATCTTTTAGTCGTGTCAATTTGCAAGAGAGAGGAGGCATACATAGAGAAACCCTAAAAGAGATTAAAGAAAAGAAGAGGAGGCGGCACCAACAAAAAAAAAAAAGAACAAAGACAAAAATATTGAAGACCGAGAGGACACCTATCTATTCCACTGAAATTCTCTGCTTTTGAGTGATGTTCATCATATCAAGTTTGTTTCTCTTTAATTTAACTATGGAGTAGACTTTTATTTTAAGATTTTTGATGTAACCTTACTATGAATATGTGATCAATTTCTTCGATTGAATAATTACATTAAAATGTTGAGTATTTCATTTTATGTGTAATACTTATATGTGTTTGGCCAACATCTGTATGGTTCAGAATTCAATTTGAAACTAAGAAATGATAATTGTTTTAGCTATTATTTGAAATACCTTAAGAAATCTATAGGATAGAGATATCCTAGGAACTTTTATAATCATTACAGGTTTTATAGTACTTAATAAATTTCGACAAGTTCAAAACTTTCATAGAGTATATGAAATTTGTTTATTGAAATAATTTATTGATACTTGAGAGAGATTAATATTTACATTAGAAAAACCTGATTATCAACATTAGGAGTAATTAATTTAATCGAGAAAGTTCACATAAGCATAGTTATAGTAAGTCAGAAATCCTAGAACTAGTACAATTGAATTCATTAATATTTAATCATTTGGTTGTTTGTTTTTTAATTATTAATTTTTGTTTCATACACTATCTCATTCGATTCCTCAAATAGATCATAATTCAAAAGACTTTGGTAATTAGTAGTAATTTCTACAAATCCTTGTAAGACGATACTCTACTTATCACCTTATTATTTGTTATGATTCGTGCACTTGTGAAATTAACCAATAAGTTTTTGGCGTCGTTGCCGGAGATTTTAGATAAAATTACTAATAATATCAATATAAATTAAATTTGATCTAATTTGATTGCCTTTTGTTTTTAGCTCTTTTGGTGTGTTGTCCAGTGTATGAGAAGCAACAAAAACTAGTCGTTGCTACCTTATAATCCTGAGATTGAGAGAACTGCAAGGGGATTAAGAAAGAAAACACGAGAGACTTAAAACAGTTTAGGCATTATGGCAGATAATGAAAATCCTGAGCAAGACACACGAGCATTGAGAGATTTTGCTCTCCCACAGGTGACAGGAATCCATTCTGTTATCAGGAAACTAAGGATTAAGGCTAATAATTTTGAGATCAAACCAGCAATACTGCAGATGATTCAGGCCTCAATTCAATTTTATGGGTTGCCAATTGATGATCCTAACGCCTATATTGCAAGTTTCTTGGAAATTTGCGACACATTTAAGCATAATAGCGTTACTGATGATGTCATTTGTCTCATATTGTTTCCATTTTCTCTGCGACATAGAGCGAAGAACTAGTTAAACTCCATGCCTGCAGATTCAGTTATCAGCTGGGAAGATTTAGCTCAGAAATTTTTTCTAAATTTTTTCCACTAGCCAAGACAGCAAAAATACGCATTGAGATATCTAACTTCACCCAACTTGAGAGTGAACCATTGTATGAGGCATGAGAGAGATACTAGGATTTGCTCAAGCGATGCCCTCACCATGGACTACTGAAGTGGATGTAGGTGCAGAATTTTTACAATGGATTGAATGCCTCCACAAGAACACTAATTGATGCAGCTTCAGGAAGAGCTTTTATGAGTAAGTCACATGATGATGCTTACAACTTATTGGAAGAAATGGCTATGAACAATTACCAATGGCCAAATGAAAGAAGCATACAAAAGAAGACTGTTAGGGTGCATGAAATTGATGCAATCACGACATTAACATCTTAAGTCATTCACCAACTCAGCAATTGAAAACCACTCAACTGTTAGCAAATATCATCCATACAACGTGTGATTTTTGCCATGGAAATCACATAAGTGAAGAATGTCAAGTTGGGAACCCATTATCTCAAGCAGAGCATGCTCATTTTGTGTCAATTTATAGAACAACCCCTACAATGCAACATATAATCCTAGTTGGAGAAATCATCCTAATTTCTTATGGAACAATCAAAGTGTCATGAAGAATCCAGCCATGCCATCTTCAAGTGAGCACATGAAAGAGAAATCAAAACTTGAAGAAGCTATGACACAATTAGCAAACAACACCAGCAGATTCATGACTGAAACAAATACCAATTTGTAGAATCAAGCAGCTTTAATTCGAAATTTAGAGGTTCAAGTTGGTCAGTTAACCAATATGCTCACGGATAGACAACAAGGAAATCTACCGAGCACAACTAAAATTAATCCTAAGGACCAATGCAAGGCCATAACTTTAAGAAGTGGAAAACAAGTGGAGCAGACCTCTTGAAACAAGAGTGTAGGAAGAGAAAAGGAGGAGCCGGTGGCCAAACCACTTCAAAATATGAAAAAATCTAATCCTCTACTAGAACCAATCCAAGAAATAATGCAGAGAATTCCATTTCCACAATGTCTTAAGAGGAATAAACTTGATAAGCAATTTTCTAAATTTCTTGATGTGTTTAAAAAATTGCATATTAACATTCCTTTTGCAGATCCTCTTGAACAAATGCCAAGATTTGTGAAATTTTTGAATGGTATTCTCTCAAACAAAAGAAAGCTAAAGGAATATGAGACTATTGCTCTTACTGAGGAATGTAGTGCCATTTTATAGAAGAAACTGCCTCCTAAACCTAATGATCTAGGGAGTTTTACTATACCATATTCCATTGGAAATTCTATATTTGAAAAAGCTTTATGTAATTTAGGTGTAAGTATTAATCTCATGCCTTTATTTATCTTTAAGAAGCTTGGTTTAGGTGAAGCAAAGCCAACTACAGTAACACTACAGCTAGTTGACAGGTCATTGAAGCATCCAAAGGGAATAATTGAAGACGTATTGGTGAAAGTGGGCAAGTTCATCTTTCCAACAGACTTCATCATACTAGATATGGAGGAGGATAATGAGATTCCTATCTTGCTTGGCCAGCCATTCTTAGCCACTGGAGGTGCGTTAATTGATGTGAAGAAAGGGGAGCTGCGGTTAAGGGTGAATGAAGAGGAGGTGATTTTTAATGTGTTCAAAGCCATCAAACAACCAAACATAGCTGTTTTAACATTCAAGTGGTGGAATCCATAATTAATGACAAAGTCAAGCTTCCAACTGACCTGCTAAAAGCATGTCTTTTAAATAAGGTATGGGAGGAGGATGCTGAGATAGCAGAATATACATGTTGGATGGACTCTTTTGAACTTAACCGCAGAAGATACTTTGAAGATTTGGGATAACCAGTACAAAAAATAAAATCAACTAGTGAACAAACACTGGTTCTGGAATTGCAACCTCTACTAGAACACCTTCGGTATATGACACGATCAAAGAGTTGATGTCTTATCCCAAGTGCAGGAGTGTCAAAGTAAAATAACCCGGCAAGACCGGGGTCGAACCACAGGGAGGTGAATTATATAAATTACAAATAAAGAAAAAGATTTAAAGAGAATAATAACAGAAAAGGAGTTGAAGAAAGTTTTGGGATGTGATATTGATGTAAGGATTAAACAATAACAAAACATATGTCAAGGTTATAGGATTCACTAATGGTATTTCAAATAAATATAATATAAACTCTTTTTATTACTCAACTAGAAACCACACACAAATGAGGTTCTAATCGGATGATTTCTTGTTATTAGCTCATTATAAATTACTAACATGATCATATTAATTATCTTATCTAAGTAATACCATACTTATAAATATCATCAAGTATTCATGTTGCTAGTTTATGTTAACAACAAATCAAGTTTCTATCATAATAACGATTTCGGCCGAAAACTATGAAAGATCAAGCATTTGATGTACCAAATATTATACAACACAAATCTAAATTAAACATTTAATAAGCAAGGTATTAAGAATTAGTAAGATAAAAAGATAAAACATGTTAATAACAATCTTTCTTGGATATAAACATTTAAAGCTCATGTTGAGTTTATATTATACCTATTCTAACACCATTAGAGAAACCTTTTCACCTTGACATAATTAACTTAGCTAAACATTAAGAAGGAGAAAAACACAAATAAACAATATAAGAACATAAACATAATATAAGCTAACTAAGTATAGGAAAGGAAATGAAAGAGCATAAACAAGAGATTACTATAGCATAAAAGAAAACTTGAACATTACAAAGATGTAGAGAGAAAGCAAGAAGATAACTTTGATCTGAAAATTAATATGACTAAATACATGGACAATGCCTCCTTTTATAGGCTAAGTTTCAGAACTATTGATTGATTGAAGAATTGGTGGGCATCCATTGATTTGGTGGCTGGTTTTTGACATTAATGGCTGGTGGTTTTTTTGTATTTTGTGCTGTTTTTTGATATTGTTGGCTGGCCAAAACGTCATTGCTCACATCAGAATTATAGCCAACTGAATTGTGGAATCTGTGGGCAATTGTCTCAGCTTTCCATCAAAAAAAACCAGAGCTCATTTGGACTTCTAGAACTCAAGATATGAGCCAAAAACCGAATAGTGCTTGAGCTGCAGGACAGCTTCCGACGTCTTCGTTGTTGCTAAGATTTGGGCTTGAAAACGGCAGAACTGAGTCTTTGACTTCATATGAAAGTTGTAGGTCTATGTCTTACCTTTCCATTGATATAAAATGGACCTAAATCTGATATCTACAGCTCCAGATATGATCAAATTACTGAATGGTGTTCGAGTTTGGAATGCACCAGCAACACTTTGCTAAGTTTGGTCTTCTTTTTATCCTTTCAATTTCAATCTTTAAACTCATCAATCAATCCTTTTATTTATGTGATAGACCTGCATTTAGGATGAACATTTACCATGAATTAAAGGTATATTATATTTTTAGACTTGCTAATATAAAACATGCTTTTGTTAGGGAATTTAATGATACTTTAGGTGCAATATAATGACATAAATCCTTAATGAGAATGCACTTTTAAGTACTATCAGTATACATATCTTAGAGAAGCTTCCACCTATCCTGTGATAGTCTCTACAAAGCTATCCAAAATAGAGGAAGAAAAATTATTGAGGGTGTTCAGAAAATATAAGGTAGCTCTTAGGTGGGTATTGGCAAATATCAAAGGCATCAATCCCTCTATTTATATATACAAAATTCTGTTAGAGGATGAAGTTAAGCCAACAATAGAACATTAGAGAAGGCTTAACCCGACCATGAAAGAGGTAGTCTGAAAAGAAGTGCAGATAACAAATTAATACCTACTAGACTAGTAACTGGATGGAGGATTTGCATCGATTATTGAAAGCTTAACAAGGCAACACGTAAAGATCACTTTCCCCTACCATTCATTGATCAAATGCTGGACAGGTTAGGTGAGCATGAATACTACTATTTCTTAGATGGTTATATAGGATACTACCAAATAGCCATTGCACCTAAAGACCAAGAGAAGATCACTTTCACTTGCCCTTATGATACTTTTGCTTTCAGAAGAATACCTTTTGGGTTGTGTAATACACCAACTACCTTTCAGAGGTACATGATGGCTATCTTTTCAGATATGGTGGAGCAGATCATTGAGGTCTTCATGGATGACTTTTTTGTATTTGGAACTTCTTTTGATAATTGCCTTGCAAAGTTGGCGTTGGTTTTGAAGTGTTGTGAAAAGACAAATTGATATTAAACTAGGGAAGGTATAGTGTTGGGGCACCAAATTTCAAAAAAAGGAATAGAGGTAGACAAAGCTAAAATTGAGGCAAAGATATAGTGTTGGGGCACCAAATTTCAGAAAAAGAAATAGAGGCAGACAAAGCTAAAATTGAGGCAATAGACAAGCTTTTGCCGCCAACTACAGTCAAAGGGGTTAGGAGTAAACAAGCTTTTACCGCCAACTACAGTCAAAGGGGTTAGGAGTGTCCTTGGTCATGCGGGATTTTATAGGAGGTTCATCAAAGACTTCTCTAAAATATCCAAACTACTATGTAGTTTGCTGCTAAAAGACACAAGGTTCTAGTTTGATGAGGAATGCAAGACAACCTTTATGCTATTGAAAGAAAGGCTAATGACAACTCCGATTGTAATTGCACCGAATTGGGATAAATCATTTAAGCTGATGTGTGATGCAAGTGATTATGCAATTGAAGCAGTACTGGGGCAATGGAAAAATAATGTGTTTCACGCCATATATTATACCAACAGGACACTCAACGATGCCCAGCTAAATTACGCCACAACTGAGAAAGAGTTGTTTACTATGGTCTATGCATTTGATAAGTTTTGGCATTACTTGATGGGAAACAAAATACTGGTATATACTGATCATGCTGCAATTAAACACCTAGTGTCTAAGAAAGATACCAAGCCTAGACTCATCAGTTGGATCCTGTTACTGCAAGAATTTGATGTAAAAATTAAAGATAAAAAGGGGACTAAAAACGTGGTGGCAGATCATCTTTCAAGTTTGGAATTGACACAACATCTGGAGCCTAAATTCATAGTTATAAATAAATGTTTTCCTGATGAAAGACTCTTAGCAATTTCCACTAACAAATTTTTTTCCTGGTATACAGATTATGTCAACTTTCTTACAGGTAAGATCATACCGCTAGATTTTTCTTACCAGCAAAAAAAGATAATTTTTTCTGAAGTTAAACACTACTTCTGGAAGGAGCAAATACTCTATCAGCATTGTGCAAATCAAGTCATCAGGAGGTGCGTTCCAGAAGAGGAAATGACAAACATATTGAAGCACTGCGACACACTTGAATATGGGGGGCACTTTAGAACACAACGCACTATAACCAAAGTTTTGCAATCAGGTTTTTATTGGCCCACTGTGTTTAAAAATGCTTATGCTTTTGTTACTGCTTATGATAGATGTCAGTATACTGGGAATATATCTCGATGAAATGAATGTCACTGCAGAACATCCTAGAAGTTGAATTATTTTATGTTTGGGGCATCGATTTCATAGGACCTTTTTCCTTCATCCTATAACAACAAATACATTCTCTTAGCAGTGGATTATGTATTAAAATGGATCGAGGCAATTACAACGCCTACCAATGATGGTAAGGTGGTACTTAATTTTCTACAAAAGAAAATTTTTACCAGATTTAGTACTCCTCGAGTCATCATTAGTGATGAAGGAACTCATTTTTACAACAAGCAGTTTGAAGCACTATTATCTAAGTATAGAGTCAGACACAAAAAAGCATTGGCTTATCATCTTTAGAAAAATGGCCAAATAGAGGTATCAAATAGAGAGGTGAAGTAAATTTTAGAGAAAACTGTAAGTAATTCTTAGAAAGACTGGGCAAGAAAGCTAGATGATATATTGTGGGCATATGGAACAACATTCAAAACACCATTGGGAATGTCTTCGTATCGTTTAGTTTTTGGGAAAGCATGCCATCTTCCTGTTAAATTAGAGCATAAGGCATACTAGGCAATGAAACAACTCAACATGGATGTGCAGGTCATATGTGAGAAAAGAATCATGCAACTTAATGAGATGGATGAATTTCACAATGAGTCTTATGAGAATGCCAAGATATACATGGAAAGAAACAAGGCATGGCATGATAAACACATTGTACGCAAGGAGTTTGTCCCTGGTCAGCAGGCATTACTTTTCAATTCACGGCTCTGCTTGTTTCCTGGTAAGCTCAAATCACGGTGGTTCGAACCATTTACAATTATGAAGGTATTTCCTTATGGAGCAGTAGAGGTCACTCATGATGAAAAGGGAACATTCACAGTGAATGGGTAGCGTCTGAAGCATTATAGGAATAGAGAGTCTATTGGAAAAAGGGATGATATCCGTCTCACTTCACCTTAGCTAAATGGAAAAGTCAGGCTAATGACTATAACTAAGCGTTGATTGGGAGGCAACCCATAAAAAAAAACCCTTATTTGTTTCATTAAGTTGTACAAGGATTGATGATTAGTACTTAAAAGTGCATTTTTATCAAGGTTTTATATCATCATTTTGCACTTGAAGTATCAATAACTCCTTAACTAAAACATGTTTTATAATAA